AAAAAAAAAAAAAAAAAAAAAAGAGCTGTGAATTATCCAGATGCCTTCAAATACCAGGATGTTTAAAATATTTGGATCACCGATTAGCTTTCTTTTTTTCCTTCCTTTCTATTGACATCTTTGCTCTTTCGCATGATTTGGTGAGAAGAAATAGAAATGTGTTATTGGTGGATCATTCTTCCGTGGTTTTAAGTCAAATAAGTGGCCAGCGTACGGCTGTGCTGACGTTCTACCACCAACTCAGCAAACGCAAGTGTGATTCGGAAATTTCAACTGCGTGAAACATACACTGTGCCACAACTACACGAATAACTGTGAGACGATCCAGTGCGGGTTTCTATCATGCACACACAAAAAATCCACGTGATATCTCATTTTTTATTTCCGTTTGTTGGTGAGCTCAGTATTGCTCTCAACTCGTGAGATGCAAATGATGGTTGGATCCCACATTTTTTTTTAAACAGAAACTTTGGAGACAGAAGGAACTGTGAAGACCAGTTCATCCAAACTTCTCATCCCCAAATGAGAAAATCTGAGATCCAGAAAGATGCAGACCTTGATGTGAGCTGCCCAAGGTCAACGGGGCGTCAGTGACGGAGCCGACTTGCATGTCTGACCACCTGCCCTCCTGCCCTACAGCCCACGATGCCCTTCTCACATTACCCGGTTTCCGACACATGCTGACATTCACACTCCTTCATATTCCTTGAGTTTATATTTAAATAAACAAGGATGCTTCGCATTAGCAATAGAACCTTAAGAAGCAGCCTTTCCAAGATCTCGACCTCCCTCCTACCCAGAAGGGTCAGAATCTTTACGGAGCAATTTCACAAACTCGAGCCGGAGCGCCCTCTGCCTCTCTATCCCCCACCTACCCGAGGACCGACTCCTCTCACAGCTTCCCACGCGTGTGAGCTTCAGGCCGTGAAGCGGTGAGTGGGGGGAACGACCCGAGCAAGCTCCGTGCTTTGGCTCTCGGAGTGATGGCCACGTGCCTGCGCCTATATAACACTCGCCACCTCGACTTCTTTAAACTCCCTAGAGTCCTAGCCCTGCGATACTTTGGGAAATGGTCAGCTAAGGGTTTACACGGTAACACAAAATGTACAAAGGATAGGTTGTGATGGCCAGAGTCAGAATCAGGCACAAGAAAGAAAAAAAAGAAGGCATTTCGGACGTACAGCAGCATCAAAGACATCCACCAACAGGCAGCGACTGCTTGGTTTGAGGTGCAAAACCGGGCAGGGTGATGTGGGGGACCTGAGCTGCAGGGCTCTCTCTTCTGGCCACAAACAGAGCGAATGAGTTTAAGGAATCTAAACTCACAGATGCGGGTTTCGAAGTAAAATGGGTACCATGGATTTAGGTAGATGTGCTAATTAATCGAGACAAAAGTGACAGCTTATTAATCATTTTGGCAAAATAGACTCCCTTCCCGTAGTGGCACTGGAGAGGGCGGTTTTACACACCAGGCCAGGCACGAGGCCGAAGCGGCCCCTTCTCCCGCCGGCCCTGCGGACTCCACCAGGGCTCGGAGGGGAGTCACACACTCGGTAACGTCCGCGTCGGCTCACCGACGAAGAGAAGCATGCACGCACGTGTGGTTTATATCAGAAATTAGCAAAAACAGGCTAGATACAAGAAACGGGCTCGTTTTAAAATTACAAACAAAAACGAAAATGGCTTTCACAACAAAAAGCGTAACGATGTTACAATATCAGTATCTCCCCAAGAGAAATTAGGATGTTCTTGCAAACCCATCTAATGACCACATAAATATAGCCTGAGATTTTGGCAATGGGCTGAAATATCAGAACTAAGACAAGGCCACAGTGTGTGCTCGGAGGGGGAGGAGCCCAGGCGCACATCTGGCAAAGCATCATTTCAGCACATGGCTTTCTAAAGAAAGGAATCAAAGTTAATTGAGATCGATTTAGAAAAAAAAAAAATGTATGAAAGCTAGAGATAAGGGAGACACACATCTTTTTCTTCCTATCTTGGAGTTCTCCTCAAAGTTAACATTGCGAAAAAATGAGAATGGTATTTACGATTCAGAATATCAGGAGTTGCTTTTTCACCAGAGGAGAAACTGTCTGAAAACGAGGCTTCAGGATAAACATTTCCAAAGGAGTGAAACCTGGGCCGCATCTCGGAAAGACGGAGCCATCAAAGCAGCCCCACAGTGATTCTAACCAGCCCGGGGCTGTCCGACGCTCGGAATTAAGAACAGGCCAGGGAAAGAGCAAAGAGATGAACAAAATCTCTCTCTCTCTCTCACACACACACACACACACACACACACACACACACACACGGGCACCCCCCCAATGCAGCAGGGGGAGTAAGAGAAGCCGCAGGGTGATTCTGGAGACCTGCTTGGACAGGCTGATCTCTACAAGAACACACGCTACACACCGAGCGCATCTCTTCGTTCATCCACGTGACTCCGCTGTATCCTACGCAGGCTGCCCCGTCCCTTTGGTTCGAGTCTTAATGACAAAAGCGGATTCGGAGGATTCTCCAGCCCAGCGGCCCTGGGACTTCAAAGCTGGGAGCGGCTCTAGCCCAGCAGGATTAAAAGCAGAACGAACGAGAGCTCCGAACGCAGGCTGGTAACCAGGAGCACATGAGTCCCTCCACTCGGGCTCCGCAAGGGACTTCCCGGCCTCGAGTGGCGCTGTGCCTGCCTGCCTGCGGCCTGGCTTCCCTCCTCTCCAGGGCCACCTCGCCTACCTACCTCCTACCCGCCAAAGGTGTCGCCTTAGTTAACGGAACGGGTCTAGGATATTCTCCCAGAGCCTCCGGCCAGCCGCGGGACTTGGGAACTGCGCTGGTTGCTTTATAACAGAGAATTCAAAAGAGCCAAAACCTGGCAGGAACGTGGCATAATAATTTAATATGCCTGCCTCTACGCTGCTATAAAAAGACCTGAACTTTAGACTGGTGTGTGTGCGTGTGCGGGGGTGTTTTTTTCTGTAGCTCCGGGAGAGCTGGGATATTCTGATGTGGCGAGTGGCAGACGACCAATGCCATTTTTTATGAACTTATGAGAAACACATAAATTCTAAGCAAATTGCCCCCAAACAAAAGGGCCTGCTGTGTTCGTGTCCAGCGTGTGCGGTTTCATTTGAATACTAGGTATACCAGTAACGTGAAGATGCTTCCTCTGGATTCCGGTCACGATAGTTCCAGAAAGTGGAGAAGACGCAACTAGATTGTATTTCATACTGTAAGACTAAAATACGCTTTTATTTTTAAGTAACTAGATTTGGATACAGCGAAGGATCCAAAATGTTTAGATTAAAATCTAAAAAAGAAAAGGAAAGTAATAAGTCGAATGCACTTTATACGCAAACTACCACTCCCAGCCGAAGGTCCGGCTGCCTTCCCAAAACAGATGGCTCTTCTGAGAGGCTCCCTTACGAGTGAAAGAATCAGAAAATAAGGCTCTGGGCTCCGATTTGCTTCTAACGTGTGCCCGGTGGTTCATAAAAATGCTATCATGTTAATACAGAGAATCCAACACACTTAAGTTTTCATGACAAGCTGGGTGTGGTCAAGTGCCGAAAGCAAAAGCATCTTAAAGCAGGACGAGCTCCCTCCCGCGGCTGGAGCCGGTGAAGCCTCCAGGGGGAGTGGTCCTTAGGGAGTTTTCAACCATTCAGGAGAGGCCAGGACTGGGGGCCCAGGGGCCTGGATTTCCAGATCGCCCTCTGGTTTCCTCCAACAGTTACAGGAATGAATGGGAAAACTAAGAGTGACCAGCATACTAAGATTGCGATCAGCGCCTCTGATGATAATTCTAATCAGTGTCCTTGCTATCACGACGCCGTGCCCACTTCAGGAAGCCAGGGTCATCGTCACCGTCACCCAACAGCCCACCTCTCCACGGCAGTCATCTCATTACCACCCAATGCAAAGCCCTTCCTGAGACTCCCCCCAAACACACGGCCAAGCAGGACTCGGTCCGGCCCGGGGCTCCTCGCANTGGGGCTCCTCGCACGACATATACGCGAGGTCTTCAGCCACTGTCTCTGGACTCGGAAACAGCCCC